ATTGAGTTTGCTGAACCCACTTTCTCAATGATCTGAGACTCATAAACTCCTGTCCCTGCTTTAACTTCAACCCAAGGAAACATGACAAGGAAAATGCCACCATTCTGGTACTGGTGACAGAGCCACAGGTCAGCTGAGGCCATGGCCCAGGCAGGTGGAAACAGCTCCGCTGAGGAAGCCACATCCGTAATCAGAGGAGGAGATCAGGCACACTTCCCCCAAAATGAACAATGCAGCAATTTACTTGGGAATCTAAAGAGATGGCCGTTTCCTTGAGTCCGGAACACCAGGACTATTTTTTAGCCTGAACTTTTTTTTTTTAGCTCCTGAGGAAGGAATCAGGCCACAGAAACTGTCAGGGGCTGCTACCATCACCTGAGAGGAGCTGGGAGGGTACTGCAGCCCAGCCTTGTCTGCCTTTGGAAAGGGAAGGTTTCCATCATGAAGATGTAGACTACTTCACATGGTAATATATTTCCCTGGCCATCTGGGCTGCAGTTCAAGTGGCAGCAAGACTGTTTGCACAAGCAGCCTTCTGACTTTTAAATGGCTTTGCCGTTCATTTATACACGTCTTTTAAGTGCAACCAACCAGAAAAATCAAAAGACTGGTTTGCATCAAAAATTTATGTGGATGATTCCTGGGAAGACTGGTCCCAGAGGCAGGTATACTCAGTCAGTGCCACTCCATGGCCTTGCTCCAGTACTCGTCCCATCAGCAGGATGGCAAACCCCAGCTCCTTGGGAAGAAAGAAATTCCACCCTTCCTACCCCTTCCCGAGGCAATACTGACAAACTGGCCATACTATAAATTCTCAGTTCATCACAGCTACCTTCTGTGTCTAACACCACAAACAGGGCTGGCAGATGACTTCTGTGAATTTGTAAGCAAAGTCTATTTCACAGAAGAGCCAGCACAGCTCTGTGGGACCGCGACCCAACACATGTCACCACAACAGCCTCCCAATCCCTCTGCCATACCTGAGCAGCACATGCAGGGTTTGGAACACATGGTGCCCTTCTTCACCACCTTCCAAGGATTTTGCTCTTTGCTTTTTCACGCCCTGGGAAGCTCAGCTGTGTCTCAGATTTTGGAAGCACACTGTTATTTAGTCAGGTTTGAGTTATATCGTGGAAACTGGCCAACAGCAGGACCTGCAGCATGACCCGAGACTGTGGGTTGGGCTGCCTCATGTCGGTGTCACCTGGTGTCTCCTGGTGTCTCCTGGTGAGCAAATCACCTGGATGTCATGTTACACTAAAGGTGCAATATAAAATAACCCCCCAAACTGGAGAGTGCTCAGCTATCACAGTGACAGGCACATTTTGAGAACAGAGGAGCAGTCTTGCTTAAGGGCTTCAACCAGCTTTCAACGATGATGATTACAACATTTCCTAGGGGGCAAGGAATTCTTCAAGGAGAATCACATCAGAAGGCCCAGCTGCACGAGCTGTGAGCTGTGTCTCATGTCGGCTGAGCTGGGCTGGCCTGGGTTCCTCCACCCTCCTTCCATGGCACAGGTGGAGCAGACCCCTCCTGAGGCTCTCTGAGGAAATCAGGCCTGGTCTCTGCCAGGGGACGCTGCTCCAGGACAGCCACACACACAGGGCTCTGCTCTCTCAAAGCAAACAGCCTTTTATTCCCACTATGCTTTTAGCCAAAGCACTCCATGCATCTTACAGACTCCCCAGAGGTCTCCAGCATTTTCACTCAAGTTTTGTGGGGAGGAGAGAGAAGAACAAGGGCTGAGGTGGCCCCTGTAACAAATGGAGCCCATCCCGCTGTGGGACCCGCCGGGAAACCCCCCTCAGCCCAGAGCCACAGAACAGCCCACACCGCTTTAAGCTGAATCACCAACTAAGGGATTATTAACTTCCAGCTGCGTTCAGCCCCATTTCCTTTGTGCAACAGTGTGTTTAATTGCAGATGTAATTTATTGTTGCAGAGCACAAGCCCAGGTCCAAGGATAAATTAAAATGACAGCTCCATGGGAAGTTCAGAATTTAACTTTCTGACTTATCTGATTTGATGCAGATACAAATATTTAAATCCAGCCAAGGAAACAAACCGCCTGTTTCTAAGAAGTTGCAGCTGGAACAGGGGAAAAAGGATTTTGTAGGAAGAGAGGCTGAAGCAATCAGTGCATTGTCACAATGCCCACGGGCACGGAGCAGCCACTGCATAGAGCTTCAGCTGGTGCACTGTGCTCCTCCCCTGTGAGGCTCATTTGGGTTTGGGTTTTTTGGAGGATTTTTCCCTTTAGTGAGAAACTGCTTCACTATCCTGGGAGTGAGAGGTTCTAGCTTTAAACATCCTTTGCACAATTTCCCTGTTCTCTTCTCAAGGGAAGCACCAAGCCTGTGAGTAAAACACATGGAGCTTGGTGCACGATCAGTGCCCAATCCCCACACTGACATACATTAGTTTTGCTGAAACAGATCACAGCTAAATTCAAACTGCATTAAAAAAACCCCAACATAATAAAAGGATGAATTTTTAATTCTGAAAATTCCTATCAGATTTCTAATAATCTGGTTTTTTTCAGGCAAATAAACAGTGCTTAAGTTTTTAGCACAACCGAATCCTGTGACAGAGGCGCAGACCCTCGGCGAAGGCACTGCCAAGGAAAACTGTGCTCGGGATCCTCCCTGCTGCTCGGAATCCTCCCTGCTGCTCGGGATCCTCCCTGCTGCTCGGGCAAGCAGCTGCCAGAGACGCTCCCAGGGCCCGGTAAGAGGAGGAGGGGATGATGCAGGAGGAGTTCCACAACGTCACGGTCAGGCCGTGTCACTGCCCACGGGCAGCGGGCCAGCACCGCTGCCAGGTCAGTGCCGGCTGCCGCCCACGGGCAGTCCCACCACGCCAGCCAGGGCTGGCACTCGCCATGTGCTCCCTGCACACGTGGAGGAGGACACTGGCACGGGAGCACTGACCACTGTGGAGGGAGGGTGGCTGGGACAGGCCTGAGGTCACTGTGACCTCCTCCGTGCCAGGCGAGCACCGGGACGTGGGTTGGCTGCCCGACCACTCCTCCTGTGGCCAGCCCAGTGCTGCCACACTGACCGACGGACACCCGGGTGGTTGGCCCTGTCCCAGTGCTGCACACCCCAGACTCGTCACCACAGAGGTTCCTCCTGCAAGCTACAACATCTGTGCTGCACAAGCAGCAGAGCTGGTAAAGCAGAGCTGTGCAGACACAGCCCCCGCTGGTGACAGTCCCACACTAGGAAGGAATACTGAGCCGTGAGCCCTTCCAACCTCTGCATTTTCACTTCACTGACTGATTGAACACATTGCAATTACACCACCCCAAGACCTCCATCAGCCCCAGGTGGTGGGCACACACAACAGCACGGGAGAAATCACACCACAGCAGCCAGGTTGACAGACCCGATCCCAGCCATCCTGATTCCCAGAACGGATCCAGGTTGGGAGAAACAATTCAACGGCGGCACTGAAACAGACCTGAGCAGAAACTTATAGGAAACAAAATGTGGTTCTGCATCTGTGAACATGCTCTGGACCATTAAAAAGCACCTTACACCCCCTAACAGGACATGCTGAGGGTTGCACTCCCGGTGGTTTATGGAGCTGTTGGTCCACACACCCGTAGGCAGCACAGAACTGCACCCACAGCACAAGGGAGCCCGGCAGGACGGAGAGGCACGATCAGCCATCACCACTGACAGTCCCAAACAGAATTTTAAGGTGCTTTCCAAAAGCACAGAGTAAGAACACTGCCAGAGCAGAGTCTGTTCACAGAGGAGTCTGCACGTGCATCAGCACTCCCAGGATGCCAGTCACGACGGCAGCCACGGCTCCTGACAGCCTGACTGCAGAGAGCAGGGACCGGATCACTCTGCTCCCCTCCTGCTCATGGGGGCTCATCCCCACCAACATCATCTGCCGAAATCCAAAGAAAGGCTCAGATCTTCTCCAATGCCCATTAGGCTGCAGTACAACCACACCCCCAAAAACACCTTTCTGAGCAACACAGAGAGCGGACAGGTACCATCAGAATTTGCCCCAAACAGAGGCTCTCTGAGGGAAATTGCTGAGGAACACTAACGAGAAGGGCTGAGCTGATCTCACTCTGAGGGATTACTGACTCTCCAAAGTGAAGCTGAAGTGAGTAATCAATGTCCAGCACTTCTGAACACCGCAGGGAAATGATATTTTAGAGGGACTAAGGAAAATGGGAAGAAAGTGAGGAAAAGACGACATTTTTCAGTGCAAAAGCCCACTGTGATCAGTCCTCAGCATCCTTTATTCTAGCTAGAAAGTACAAGAATTACTGGCTCTATTCATTTGTATTATAAATTCAGCAACTCTTCCAGTTTCCAGATGAATTTTAATTGCATTGCATGCTATTAATTTCACTCACACTCACAAAGGACATCTACACTTTCTTTTATGCTACCATTAACCATGTTCACAAACATTAAACAAGCAAACACAAACACTAACTTCCCTCCAGCTGCAAACACAACTGAATTTTACCTGTACTTTCCCCCAGACTCATTCCTGGTACCCTACCCACCTGGAGCTTCATGCTGCAACCCCAAATTCCAGACTTTCCCTGCTTCCAAGCAAATGAACTACTCCCATCTCCACCTCGTCAAATATTTGAGACATATCAAACCTTCACAGAAATCTGTTTTAGTTAAGCAAAGAGAAAACCTCCTCAAATCATAGAAATTAAAATTCACCTGAGTCCAAAAGTAGCAGCTGAAGTCCACTCAGCCTGGACCTCTAAGATCACCTGAACTATCTGCTCCCCGCGTCACCACTGCTGGTAAGGATGTTTTGTGGTTAATTTGGAACTTCTAGAATAAGGAGACTGCATGAAGCAAGTGTTCCTAGAAGATCCAAATGCTCTGGAAGCCTGGAGTTCATAAATGACAACACCCTGTGGGAGAAGGAGGAGGAAGGAGACTTTCCCTCCTGTTGCCCTTTGCGCTGCACAGCCCAGCCCGCAGCCCCCCGAGCGCTGCACGTACCTGGATGTATCGCAAGGCACTCCTGAGGACACTGAGGTTTGAGGTCTTCTTGTCATCTACGTTGGGGATGTTGCGCTTTAAAGTCTCAAAGCACTCTTTCAAATGTGCACGTCTAAAGAAAACACAGGTGCATCGTCAGCTCACGGGACACACATCAGGGTGTGTCCAATTCCACAGAGGGGAGAGCTTAACGGGGCCTTAATCCAGCAAAGCACCTACACCTGTGCATAGCAGACCCCAGCCCACCTGCACACTCACAGCTGAGCCAGCCCACCCCAGGGCTGCGTGCCCGGATTCTATCCCAGCTTTGTCAGGAACGCTGTGCGGCCTTAAATGAAACATCTCATCTCCCTGCGCTTCCACCGTCACCTTATTTCTGGTTAACTAGTCAGGCTTGTAAGAGTTTTGGGTCAGGAACTGGTTTTCATTTTGTATTCACGCTGTACACTGACCCCTGATTTTGGCTGATTACTTTAAAAGAGAGTCCCCCTGTTATGCACATGGGGTTTGCTTTGCGGGATCGGCGCTGTACAGGGTGATGGGATGCAGTGGTGCAGTTAGAACACACGGGGAAGCCAGAAATGCAGAACTGAGCTGGAAGAAGGCAAAGCAATGCTGCGAGATTCAGTAAAAGCCACTAAGAATTTTGTTCAGGTTATTTGTTTAAAAACAAACAAACAAACAAACAAAACCCCACCAAAGCCAAACAAATATTGACAGACTACAGGCCAAAAAAAGAATGTGAATTACAATTAAAAAAACCAAACCCCTGGCTTTCTACGCACCTGTTCTTCTCCAATTTATTATGTACTTCCCTGGTCCCAACCCTGTAACCCAAACAGAACAAAGATCAGCTCAGTGTCAGGTTGAAAACTCCTGCATCGCACCTGTGCTTGCAGCGGGGTGTGTGTGTGTGTGTCAAGGAGATACAGGTCAAGATTCAAAACCAACAGAGGTGTTCAGATACCAGTGGTGTAACATCAGGCACATCTGTATTTCTGCCTATACTGAGTCAAGATAAACTACATACTTTCCACGTGCATTGGATGTGCACAAGGTTTGTGCAGTTTCAAATTCAAGTGTTCAATACTGGGCAGACACTTCAACAACAAAGCTGAGGGTATACATGGAATGAAGCAAACCAGGAATCCTCCAGTCACCGCTCAAGGAAGAACCAGAGCGAGCTTCTGGTTTTGGGGTTTGAGTTCATCCCCACCCTCCCATTCAGAGGAGTATTTTTAGGGAAAGCTAAACAAATAAATGTTCTCAAATTTCAGCTACAGTGCTGTTAAGGTACATTAGTAGATGTGTAGATTTCAAAGTATCTTCAATACACTGTGCAAAATGATTTGCCTTTGCCTGAAAATACAGGACATTGAGGTAATCATGATAAATAAATTGTCAGGTATTTGAAAACAAACATTTGACAGCATTTTCCCATGAAACATTTACAGGCTGAAAAAGACATAAGTCTAATGGAGCAGTTCTAGGGGGACACAGTGGTGAGCTGCACTCCACACCAGGACCACAGCCCTCCCAGCCTCCCAGAAGCAAAGCTCAGTGTGATGGCACGGGAGCAGTTTGTGGGTGCACCCGCAGCCACCCCAAACTCGTGCAGCCTGCCCTGGTACCCCCGTGCCAGCACAAACCAGCTCCACAGCCACCTGAACCCACACAAAGGCAGTGACAGGGTTGTGTAGGCTGGTGGACCCTTCCCACAGCTGGGTGTTTTACAGACAGGCTCTGAAGCTTTCCACAGAGGAATCACACTGGCATTTTACCAAAGCCTTTATCTTCACGAACTCTTATCTGCACTACTTTCGCTGTTTCCTTCTATGTATTTTGGGATCTCCACATCCCAATGGACACTATGAACCCTTTTTCTGTCCACTACACATTCCATCTCCTCCAGCCCCCCTGGGCTTTGCACACCATCTCCAACACCGCTACCAGCAGTCATCTCCCACCGCAGGCCACCAGAACGGTCAGAGGCCCAGACAGCACAGCCCAGGAGGACTGAACAGACCCAGGTCACTTATCCTGCAGGAAAACTAAAGGGCCAAGGGAAACAGGTAAAACTGCTGCAAAGAAGGGAATGGCTTGTTCTGCCATTCCACAGGCAGTAATACCAGACAGTACTGGGACACTGTGGTCTGGAAACAACCACCTTTGGAGAAGGCAGAGTCTCCACCAGCCAAAGTCCATAGGAACAAGTCAGATAAACACTAACCTGGAGCAACATCAGAGCCACAAGTCCTGTCTGAGGGTGAGGGCAGATTAAACAGCCTTCAGCCTCTTCCAGCTGCAGGATTCTGGGCAAGCAGGAGGCCCTTAGCACTTCCAGCACTGAGAAACTGAAACAGCAGCTAAGATGATCCCTGTCCTGGGAATGACATCTCCCAGATCACATCCCAGTTTTCAACAAAGCTCCTGCAAGCAGCAGTGCCATGTGATTTCTCTGACCAGTACAAGCAGAGATTTTTTGTCAAACACAACACCAGATACCACTTGAGATCAGACAAGCTGGGACTTGCCTCCTAACACTGTTCTGGCTTGGAAAAAAAAAAAAAATCCTGGTACAGAATCTTATAGTGTGGAGTCAGGGGGGAAAATTAAATCCCATCAAGCTAAAAAACCCTGCTCTCAGCAATCCAAACAGACATCAAACATCCATGGGTCTCGGTATTTCTGATCTGACAATGCTTTGCACAAGCAGGAGCTGCTCCAGAGCGATGCAGGCTTTGGTACCGTTTTTGCCTGGTCCCTGTTGGACACCTCCACACACACACTGCACTCACCCTCCAATTCTCTTCTTGAGCTCGATGGGTTTCAGGTCATCTGCTGGAGCCAGCTTCAGGGTGCCGAGCGGCGCGGGCGCTGCCGGGTGCTGCAGGGGCTGGATGGGCTGCGGGACCACGTGGTGCTGGGAGATGGCCAGGACCGGTGCTGTGTAATGCTGGAGCTGCTTGGGGCTGCCTGATGGAGGGGTTGCAGCTTTCCCATCCGGCAGGTGTGGGCCTGGCGGCCTCTGGATCACCGGTGCCACCGACGAGGATTCCTTAGGGACGCTGGGAGTGCTTACGAGGGGCTGGTGGCGTTGCACGAGCGGTGGGGACAGGGCGGTTTGGGCTGCTTGCTGGGGGGAACTGGTGACAACAGGGATGGGAATGACCGAAATGGGGGCTGCCAGGGGCGGGGGTGGCGGGGGCACTGGGGCCGGGGGGGAGATAGGCACCAGCAGTTCGCTTCGGGGCTCCTCCGGGGACAGGGCGCTGTTGGCCCGCGGCGTGCTGGTCTTGCTGGCCTTCTTCTGCTCCTGCTCCCTCTCCAAGCGCAGCTTCTCATGCTTCTCATTCTCTTCTGAAAGAGAAACACTGACAGTGAGCAGTGGCACCTCCCTGACCTTCCCCAGCCGCAGCCTTGAACCAGCACAGGGCAGGCTCCTTAGGTTAAAATACCCCATGCTTCGTACCACCCTGAGTAAATCCCAGCTCAGTGGACACTGCACTGATACGAACCCGCCAGGGCACCTCTTTTACTGCTGTGGCCTTTATTCAAGCTCCTAAACTTGGCTTTGATGTGTGTACGTTCCTATATGTTTTTATAACACCAGACAAAGTAAATGAAATCTGTGTGGCCCGACTAGCAAAATAAACCTCATCAAACGCGATCCAGGGCTCCAGCTTTAATTGCGTGAACATGGCACAAGGAAAATTTATTTATACAAGTCCTGTGGCGCCAGTGGCCCTGGCATCTAGACATCACACAGCTTTAATCAAATATCTCCAAACCCACTGTCCATGAGGCTCAGCAGATCCCGCTCCTGGCAGCCTCTGAGGAGTTGCAACTAAAAGTGCTGCACCAACCTCTTCACAGTAATATACAAATATTTGGAAGATAAACCCTTACTCCATCAAGGAAGGGATCGGTGGAAGGATGCGTACGGTTGGGTGTCCTGTCTTATATAGTTGCCAGTATCAAGCAATTCAGAGGAAGCTCCAAGAAACATCCCAACAGAGCCTGTTCCCAGGAGAAGCTTGGGCTCAACCAAAATGCTGAAGCTGGAGTGTATACTTAGGAAATTTGATAGAAGAGAGTATATCCTGCAGCCTGGAATTACCAGGTTATGTTCTACCCCGCAGTGATCTTCAAGAAGAAGCTGCACTGATCATAACAAGCAGAACAAGGGGAAAAGGGCTCCCAGGCACAGAGCTGCCCAGCCCTCACCACATCTCAGGGGCCCTGCCACTGCTGGGATAATTTCTTACCTGCCTTTTGAGGGGCGTAGTGCAAAAGCTACAGAGAGAATAAAGGGAACAAAACTCTTACTCCTGATTCTGAATGCCCTTTGGTACATGTGACTGCACTGTGACACTGCCCCAGATTCAGCTGACGCGATTTCCTGAAGTTCAGTTGCAGCAACAGCCCAAACACCCATTTTAGGAGCTCATGAGCAGGGTCAGGTACCCATCTGACCAGGTAAACACTGTCCAGCAACCACACAGGGAGAAACCACACCCCTGGTTTGAGCTCCAGCACCAGGGCTGCAGCCCCAGTCTCTGACCCTCCAGCACTTTGAAAGGCACCCATGGAATTCCATGATCAGGAAGGATTTCACATCCATACAGCACTCTTCCTAGGGTTGCCCGAGACTCAAATCCAAAGTTTTAATTCAACTCCTGCAACACAAGTAGGGGTAAGTGAGCAAAAGATCTGACTGACTCCAAAACAGGAGAGAGGATGTTTAAGCAGCAGCTAAGGTTGAAAGCAGCATTCCTCTGTGTTTTCTCAAAATATTTCAGGGTAACTATCAACATTTCCTTAAAGGAAGAAGCAAAGCAATGCCGGGTGGCAAAAACCCCAGCAGGACTCTCCTGCTGTAAGTACAAATCTTAGCTACCTACAATTTCTGAGTGGCTCAAATGAACAACATTAATAACCAATACAGACAAGCCCTTTGTCTGCAGATCTTTTGCTCCACTTTGCTGCTGGTTCGCAGCCAGAGCCAATGCGATGGCCCTGGCACAGGGCACACGAGGAAACCCAGCCCTGGGGACCTGCTGACTCATGGTGTTCCCTGTGCGTGTCTGGCCACGCTGCAGGCACCAGGGCAGCCCGGGCACCCGGCCTGGGACACGGGGACAGCGGCGGGGCCGAGCCAGCGCGTGCCCAGCAAGCTGGTACCGATCACAGACCACACAACTTCCACCCAGACTCAAAACTGCACCGGGACGGGGAGGAGGGAGCAGCAGGGGAGCCCATTAATGGGAAGCCCTGGCGGGGTCTGGTGAAGAGAGTGGGACCTGCCTGGGCTGCACTGGTGACTGCACTGGTGGCTGGAGGTGACGCCACAGCAGAGCAGAGGATCCGCCAGGAGAGCCGAGGTCTGCGCTGGCACTGCTGCCAGGAGTCGGCATGAAACTCCTTCAACGAGCAGTGTTCCTTCCTCAGGGATGCAGGAGAACAGGGAAGCAAGGTTAAAGCATGCATTACTGATCAGAAATATTTATGTAAATGTCTCTGGAAGCAGGTGCAGCCCTCGGGCTGCTGACAAGCTGCCAGCAAGGCCTTTGGTGTCACAAATCTTGAGCTCCCTTGAGCTAAAGAGTTTATTTCAAGGATTTTTTTTAGCCAAAATCTGACACCACTGAGCCCCTGTCCTTTTGTGTCTGACTCATCCACAGACAGAAAGGATCCACACTGCCAACTCCTCCCCAGCAAGAGGACTGGAGGGTCCCTGAGTCACCTCTTAGGATAGAAACCCTTCCAGTGGGTGATAAAGTTCTGTCTCCTGCTCAGTTTGTACTCACACCTTGCACACAAACCAAAGACACCCTTTGAAAGAAAGCCCCCCGAGCTCTATGTTTTCCCATATGAGGGAAGTTCACCCACAATTGGTCGCAGACACATGTCAGGGATGAGTGACCAGCGCTCCGTGTGCTCAGACACACATGAGCTTCAGTCCACTCAGCACAGTGCACCCAGCACAGGAACTCCTGCAAGCCCAGACACAGAAAGAAGCCAAGGCTCAGGGCATCCCCTTGGGCTACAAGGACTGCTGAACCCAAAGGTGCACCCAAAATTATGTGTGATTTCCACTCATTCTTGACACTCTTATCAAGGGGACTGAGGATGAGACAAACCAAGTGAACAAACCAGCTCTGAGAACGCTCCAGGGGTCTGAACCACAGGCCAGGCACTAAGGGATCAGGAATCCCACCCTGCCCACACCACTCTGTCTGCCATCATGCCCATGGTGAGAGCAGGGACCTCAGCTCTCTGGCCATGCCACCCAGACAGCGACAGCAACACCAGCAGCCATGGGACAGAACAGCAAATCCTCTCCTAGGAGGACACAGAAACAGGGTCAACACTCCTGACTGATGGCCTGGTGTTATTTTAAGGCCCTCATGGTCCAGGAATACACAGTACCAAGGCACTCCTAACTTTGTTACCTAATAATCTGCTGGGTTTAAATATATCTCCTCCCTTTTGCCTGCCCTGGAAACACCACCCACCTGTCGCAGCCAGGGCTGCAGACACGGAGAGCAGTGTGGGGCAGAGGCACATGTGCCCCCGTGCCCCAGGGCACAGCCTGAGCCTCCCTGGGCAGTGCTGGAGGAGCAGGCCTTAAGGAATGTCAGTGCCCTTTTAACGCTCCTACTTTTCACTAGGGACATTATCAGTATTCAGAATTTATCAAGGGTGTGTGCCTTTGCATAGCCAACCATCCTACTCCTGTGCTCTGTGTGTGCTCAGTGGTCCCTCCCCAGCTCATGGACATCCCTAACTCTGGAACAGCGAGGCACTGGCAGTTCTGTGCTGTCATTTTCTGAATGGTCTAAACTGTTTTTCTGAACCATTCGTTGCTTCTGGGAGCTTATTCTGCACACCCCAAACAGCCATATCCCCAGAGAGGAGTGGTCTGGGTGTCACTAACACAGGATCTAGAGCAGTGTCACCTGCAGCAGTCACCCCAGGCTCCTACCAGGAAAGTGCTGGGGACAGAAACCAGCAGCAGCCAAAAAGATGCATCCCAACATCTCACTGACAAGACCTCTTGAGAGACACCAGTGGGGGACCTCGCTGAGCACAGCATCAAGCCACTGCCCAGCCACAGACGCTGGGTGTGAGCAGGCTCTCTTTCTCACCCATCAGCACAAGGCAGGCAGCACGGCAGCCAAAGGAAACCTTTCTGGTCACCACACACCTTGTTATCACTCCCAGGCAATTAAGAAGAGTGCCCAAATGGCAGTTTGGTGAGAAGGAAAAGCCCATGACTGTGCTTGCTGCAGGGTCACTGCCCGTGCTCACACTGCCCAGGGAAGGAACAGTGAGAACGAACTGCGCAGCACCGGGAGAGCAGCGAGCACGAGCTGAGCACTCACAGATCAGCATCTATGGGAAAAACCCTAAGAAAACAAATATTAGTTACTTGCAATTATAATGAAATTTGTTTTTCTTAGTTCACAAAACATTCTCGGATTAACCTAAATTCAAAGAAATCAGCCACCCTGTAATTCAAGGCAAATGTCTCTGGAGCTCGCACGTAACAGAGGAAGGACCCTGAGCTGTGGGACCCTGAGCTGTGGGTCTGTGCCGTGTAAATGTGAGTTTACGTGGTTGGGAGCCACGTGCTTACAGCAAGAGGGTTACAGCAGCAGCAGCAGCGTTGTGAAGCATGAACACAGGTGGGGACAAGAGTGCTTCAGCATGTTGACCCCCAGAACAACCAGAAATGCTGGTGTATGGCCCCCACAGTGGGTGTCACTGCCTGCATCCCCATGGTGTTCACAGTATAGAAATGCAACACATCAGCTGTTCCCTTCACCTCCCCACAGCTGTTGGTTTGTTCCCCACAAATTAATGAGATCCAAATAACGATATTAGTGGCACCATCATTTACAGAACATTTGTCACCATGTAGGAGAACGGGTCTGCTGAGCGCACACACACAGCACAGATGAGCCAAACCACTGCAGTTTCCTTTCTGCTACATTTCTCTGCAAATCTACAGAAAATCCGTCCAGTTGTAAGGAACTCTCCAAGTCACGCAGGTCCAGCAGGAAGCATCCAGCCAACCCCAGCACACGCATGGGATCACACCAGGGTGTGCAATGAGCACACAAGCAAAAGAGCCTCAAAACCTACTCTTTTAAGCAGTCAATGTTTATGCTGTAGAAGTGTCAGCTGAGGATTCTCTAGATGTATATGGGCAGCTGTGTCATTACAAAGCAAACCATTCCTCCTAACCCACCCTGTCACCTGCATTTTCCTCCCAGCTTACTGGAAGATAACAACCAACCACTTGTGCTGCATCCTTCCACTTCTAGCAAGTGTTCCAGCAAGGTCTGAACCTGGCTGCAACACCCAGTGATTCAGCTCGAGGATCCCAAGGCATCCAAACCTCTTTCACCCTGAGGCCCCGTGTCGCAATTCCCTTGGGAGCTGTTACTCTCACTGTACAGCTCCAGCTGATGTACCCAACTCTGCTGTTTTCAGAAATCTGAAGTTATGTTTTTCTGAAATACTTATAATACATAATATTCAATAGGCTTTCAGGTAAACATCTTGTAAATGCAATTTGAACCACACTCTACAATTCTCTGGGCCAGGAGCAGTAACACTGGGTGGGCTCCACACCAAGAACCACCTGGGTCTCCCTGCAGTGGGTCAGGGTGGCCCATGACAGGTTCACCCCAGAAAACCCAAACAGTGGCACAAACAGTTCCCCAAAGCAATAAGCAGTCCTCAGAAAGCTGAGGGCACAGGGGACAACTTACTCTGGCCATAAATTCAGAAAAGCAAAGCCTACATGGTTTAATTTTCCACTGGTGGAAGAGGCTGAAGAGGCAGGAAAAGCCATGCTGGTACCTGCCGGGACCAGAGCCGAGCAGAGGACACGGTCACAGGCGGGGAATGGGACAGCACCGCTCAGACAGGAACCAGCCCACGGTGCTGCAGCAGCACCCCACTCCCATGTCAAGGGCTGGAGCCTGGGCTCCCACCAGCTGCACCCCAAAGCTGGAGATGATCCAGGCTGCACCCCAGTAACTATCACCCGCAAAAAGAATGACAAAGCAGTGACAAAAGCTGCCAGTCTGACCTCCCAAAGTCCAAGGAGAATGTGAAGATCCAAAGGCTGTTTGCTTTCAAGGAATCCTTCTTCATCTCCTCTCCTCAGAAAGCTCTCCCTCAGTCCCACACTGCACACAGCACAGTCTCCACCAGCTCTGTCCGGCTGGAGGTGGCCCTGGTGCTCCTGGCAGGTGGAATGACCAGCTGTGCCTCACAGCCCATGTCTTCCTGAGCAGGTCCTGCAGTGCTCCACATGACAGGGATCCCCACAGAGGGGACCTGCCTTATCTTGACCATCTTCCCTCACTGAGACATTCTGCTCTCCTTTCCTCCACAGCCTTTCTGGTTTTATCAGTTTGTTTTTCATAAAGATGAGTCTGGCTGATTGGGAGCCATTTCCTGCCCTTTATTCCCAGGTATGGAAAACCAAAAGTGTAGGTAGTATGGGTGTGATATTCTGGGGTTGGTGCTGCAGCCCACACTCCCGGCCCCATCACCAGGGATTCCCGGGCATCTCCATCCTGCCCTCCTGCCCATGGCCAGGCACCGCTGTCAGCTTCAGACCCAGCAGCCTTAGATTAGCTCAGGTTTACATTATTTAATGCTGCTCCCAAAATGCATTGATTTTCAGGCCAGACTGGCCCCCTGGAGTTCTGCAGGGTAACCAGGGGTGTAATGCAGACCATAACACTTCTCAGAACACAGATATGAAGGGGCAGGAGAGGAAAAAGGCAAGGCAAGGAAGCCAACCGAGAACACTTCATTGCTTCCTAGTCTTTCCCAGCTACTCCTCTGCTTGTGCTTTCCCCTGACATCTTCCTGCTACCCAAAGGTCGCACACAGGGCTCCTCCCTCCCGTGCCACACATCTTCCTGGTGCTCAGACTTCCCTGAAGTGGCCACGTTTGCACTGATGCTGCTGCTCCTGTTTTGTCAGGCCTGACGTGTCTGTGCAGCAGACACAGGGACTGGGCTCCACGTCCTCTCCCTGGCAGCTCCTGCCTGCAGCGGGCTTTGGTGTAACATCGCACCCCCACACATCCCTACAGGCTTCTCCTGGAGCTGGGAAATCTGCATGATGTCTTTTCCTTGGACTGTTGCCTTGCTCGTGTCCGACTCAGCAAGAATTCTTGCCTCAGAGGTTGGTTGCCCAGCACGATGAGCCAGGTCCCTCCTGCTCCTCTGTATCCCAGACCCCCACTTTTTGCACCCACTCACAGGATGTTCCCACAGCACAGGCAGCAGTGGGAATCTCTCCGGCAGCAGGAGCCACCACGCACAGCCCTGCAGAGCACGAGCCCCGGGTGTTTCAGTGTCGTACTCTGGGCACAGCCACCTTCTGCCAGCCTGGATCCGGTACCAGCCCGGGGCTGGCAGGGGCGAGGGGGCTGTCCCATGCTGGGGGCAGCGCCGGAGCTGTCACCGCCCGGCGGGGAGAGCGGGCCCTGCCGGCCCCAAATCCCGGGGTTTGTTCCGAGCTCGGGAATCCTGCCGGTTCTGCGCGGCCCCGCATCACCGCATCCCCCGTCTGCTGCGTGACTCATCACCGACAGAATGGGCGGCGGCGGCGGCACAAAGCGCTGCTCCCGCAGGTCCACTCGAGTCCCCGCGCCGGGGCCGCCGCGAGAGTGGGGCCGGGGCTATTCTCCTGCAGCCACGCGCGGGCGGCGGCCCCCGGGGCATGGACCGCGGCTCCCGCAGGGCCCACGGGGGCCGAGCCGAGAGGGCGGTGTGGGGCGTGCGGGCGGTGCGGGGGCTCCGCGCGGGCGGTGCGGGAGTTCCCCCGTCCCGTCCCGGGGTCCCGGGCGGGTCCCGCAGCCCCGGGGGGGGCCGAGCGGGGCGGGGCCGCGCGCACGTGGTGGGGGGCGCGGTCTGGCGCGTCACGGCCCCGCCCCCCCGCCGGCCGGGGACACGCAGCGCGCGGGGCGGGGGCGGCGGCGCCCCCGGCGGGAGCGGGGCCGGCCGGGGCTGCCCCCCCCCTCCCCCTGCACGGACCCCCGCCCTGCTGCCCCCGAGCCCCCCGTGCCCTGTCACCGCCCCGCCCGCCCCGGGCTTCGCCCGCCGGCAGCGCAAAGCCCGGGCCGGTGTCCCCCCGCCCCGGTGCCCGCGCCCGTGCCGGCCCGACCGGCCGAGGCTGTCAGGCGCGGCCCCGCGCGGCGCGGGCGGGCGGCCCCTCACCACGTGCGGTCTGCTGCTGCTGCGCTTGCCACTCCAGGAACCGCGCCGCCTCCAGCAGCGTCTCGATGCTCATGGCGCGGGCCCGGCCGCCACCGCCGCCGCCGCCGCCCGGAGCGCGGGCCCGCCCCGCCCGCTCGCCCCGGGCTCGCCCCGCCGGCCGCAGCGCTGGCGACAAGATGGCGGGTGGCAACAGAAACACAACAGGCGGGCGCTGGCGCGGCCCCGCTACTACTCGGCGGGCGGCGCCAAGACGTGGAGCGGAGCGCGGGGCGCCGCCCGGACGGGACGGGGCGGGCCGCGACGCGGCGGCCAGCCCAGCCCGGGGAGCGGGGGGGCGGCCCCGCGGCCCGGCCGGCGGCGCTTGGCGGGCGCGGGGCGGGCGCGGCCCCGGAGCGGGCGCAGTGCGCGGGGCGCGGCGGGCTCCGGCCCGATCCGGCGGCGGCGCGATCCGGGCGCCGCGTTTTGCGGGCGGCGCTCCCCCCGCAGTGCGCTCGCGGCCCGGGCCGCGCTGTCAGCGCGCGCGGGCCAATGGGCGCGCAGCACAACACGCGTGCTGCCCTCCACATGGGCGCCCCGCGCCGCCGCGCGCCTTAAAGGGGCCGCGCCCGCCGCGCCCGCCCCGCGCACGTGCGGGCCCCGCTCCCGCGGCGGGGGCCCCGCGCACCCCCGGCCGGGGGAGATGACGGCGTTGTGTTAAACGCCCGGCCCTTGCGGAGCGGCCCCTGCGAGATCTGTGTCCCGCCCGGCACCGCGCGATCGGATCCCCGCCACAGGGGCCCGGCCCGGCTCTGCCCCCGCGGGGCTCCCGGGTTGTGTCCCGTCCCTGCAGCCCCGTCCTGAGCTGCCCCGAGTCACGGGCTGGGGGTGCATGTGACTGACTGACTGGGAGCTCTGGCGTGTCCTGCGCCGCACCTGGCGGGCGGCTGCAGGGAAGGGAAAAGCCGAGCCCTTTCTGTGGATAAAGGCAAGGAAGGAAGGGAGCCCGTTGGGAAAGGTTAGCCCTGCTCCTCTGGAAACACCTTGCAGTGCAACGCTTATGTGCAATTTGAGCAACGTTTTCCTTTGTACAGCCCCTTTTTTATTAGCTTGCAGAACTAAATTGAACTTAAATTATCCACACAGAAGTTTTCCTATCCAAGTATCTGTATCTGATTGACTTAAAGACACTGAAGTAAAAGGGAAATAAACTGATTAGAAAAACCAATGCTTCTCATGGAAGGAATGGGATTGAAAAAAAACTAATTTTCATGTGAGAATTTTTATTCTACTTAAAAACATTAAGGAATTCACAAACCAAAAACTACCCTGAGGAAGGGCCATGGAAGGTGGCAAACCCAAACCGTCATGAGCTGGGCCATACTGGTTTGTGGAGCTTGGGGCTGACTCTAAAGTGCTCCTGTTCCCCAGTCAGGGCCATGTCTCGTGTGGCTGGTGGCCTCACGTACTGCACGCTCATCAGATCCTCCTCTGCACATGGAAGGAGTCATTTCCTCCTGGGCTTTGCCATGAACTCATTCCTGTGTTATCTGAATTCCTTGCCACGTAATGAGGGTATCGTCATCATGCATGAGCAGAAGAGGTAGATAAGATGTAGTTGTGGATAAAGCCTGGCCACAGTAACTCACCTGGTACCTTCAGGCAGGTGTAGCTCTTGGAGGGATGAGCTTCATTTCTCATGGAATTTCTCAGCCTCTTTCCAATCCTCCATCCTCTCTGCAAACCACCTCACTCGCTCCTCCCTGCAATGAATGAAGACGTTTTAACACCAGGAATGGCTTCCATCAGCCAGCCTGGTTCCCCAGAGCACTGCCCAGGCTGTGTGCTCAGCTCAGCCTGTGGAACAGCACTGTGGGCACTCCTGAATTACACAGTGCCTTAGGGAGCTCAGTAAGAGCCACTCCAGGGCAGACTAAACCTGACATCTCCCAGGTTCTTCCCTTTGTAAGCCACATGTGCTCAGGTATAATTTGCATGTGTTGTGTGTGAGTGTATATGTTATATCCAAAAATCACTCTGGTCTGATCCCACCAGAGGAGGCAAGGATGGCTCAGCACCTGCCAAACACAGCTGGAGAGCAGCAGCAGAGCCCCAGTGGGACACTGTTGTGACCACTGCCCTGGGGAGCCTGTTCATTCCTTCTCCAACCACCTCTCTCTGTGTGTGATCCCACAAACCAGTGGGGTTTACTGTGCTCTTCCAGACAGGCTCGGATTGAAAAAGGAATTGCTGTTCTGCCATCAACCCTGCTGTACAAACTGCACTGCTTGCCACAGGACCTGCCCGTGGAGTCACAGCCCAGCACAGAGGCCTCCTGGCTCTGTGCCACTGCAAGGACCACAGACTCTGGGGTTTTATTGGTGAGACAAAACAACAGAAAGAAAAAAGGAGTCATTAGAGGAGTATGTGGGCATACAAGAGGCAGTGCTCCAGTGGAGGGTACTTGATCAAACACAGCTTTTGAAAGAAACATTTTCAGGTACATTTGAATAGTTTAGTCCTGTACTGGGTTAATGCTTTAGCAGGAGGCAAAACATTCCTTTTCCTGCCTGCTTGCATCTTTTGCAACATCTAATCTCCAAGGAGAGTTGTTTGTTTTGAAATCTTGAGCTCTGTGGGCTCTCAACTGCTAAGCTGGCTCCTGGCTTTGGCAGCTCAAAGTATAAATCAGTGCCATTACACATTCATATCAGAGCGATATTTCCTGATTAAATTCATTTACTGCAAGTTTTTGGACCTGGACAATGCAGCAGCTTGGGTACATATCCAAAATCCATCAACTGTGTATTCATCTACCTCTGTAGGATTACATGGGGAGAGCGATAAACCAGAACACTGAGATTGTCTGGGTTGACTTAGTGAACATTTTAGGGACAGCATTTAAAACTTTGCATATGTGCTGCAACTACTAAGAGGTCCAATTTCTATCCTGTTATACCCACACGAGGGAAGAGCAGGCACTGGGCTACCTCCACAACCCCTCCAGACACAGCCCTCGGGGGCTGGGGGACACTCTGGTGGCACTGCTGGAGCTGCCCATGTCCAGCCTTGTGCTGGGAGGACAGGAGCCTCCTCAGTTTCCATCCGCGGTTCTAAAACTTTCAGTCAAATCCTGACTAATGTTTTTTTAATCTTTTCTAGAGATTAGATGTAACTTATGAGAATTTATACTTCTGTCTCGTAATGAGCATATATAGCTTGAGAGGTGAGTCTTTTTACCTGTTTTGAGGAAATGCTGAGGGCATTTTATCTTCTTATCTGTGTATTATTTCCTGTTTAGTCAGTCCTTTAGATGGCATTGGATGATACTCAGATGGTACAGATATTGATCTCTACGATGCTGTGGCTGTAGTTGAGCCTGAAGGAAATCACTCTGAAAATCTCCGAGCAGTGAATTTGGATAGTACCTTAATCACAGAGCTGGGCTCTGTACTCAGTAAATGCCTTTCTTTGTTTTCAGGGTTATTGATGGCATTTTATAAAGTTTGAATGGGCTTCGATTAATTTAGATAAAATGATGATGATATTCATATATAGACAGTGCAGGAAAAACTAGCAGTGGTTATGGCACTCATCATCTTTCCTTATATCTGCCCTTCTCCCCCCCCAAAAACAGACAAGATTTGAAAGGAGATGAAAATTGCCATTTGAGGATGACCCTGTCTTACAGTGACACAAGGATCACCTAATATCCCATACATATCCTATACTGGGGACGTGATGGAGGTTTAAACAAAACCCACTTCAGCTGTGCAGACGTGGAAGAATAACTTCAATAGTGCTGGAGACCTGACAACGCCCTTCCTGCTCCTCTGCTCGTTCCCTTTCTGGCTGTGCAGCAAACAGCTTCTCTGTGCTCAGACCATCCCTGGGATTTCTGTGTCCCTTCACCGGCAGTGAGTTCAGCTTTCTGGCAATCTCCATCTCTATGACTTTTCCCCCAGCTCAGAAATGACTCTCATTCATTCCCTGACTTTTCTGAGGTCACAAGGTCCCTGTGATCGCTGGTGGCTGTGCAGGGACTGAGCTCTGTGCTCTGGACCCCGGATCAAACACTCTCAGTATCCATCTGCCCCGCTTGGGCTCCACAACTCAGCTTCCAGCACGTGGCAATTTTGCTCTTCCCTTACTCTGAATAAACAACTTTTCACTTCAGGCCACTGAATAATCCATCTGGAGTCGCTGGAATATGTGACTGCATAAAATTGTATCTCCTGCTTAAATGCTTTGTTGCTCAGGGCCTAAATCATGACTGAACGTAAATGATTAAATGACTGTTAATTTTCCCTTTTCAGGCTTCACACCAAATAAGAAATCCCCCCAACTGTGCTAACATGAAAGAGGGAGTTTATCTCAATATTTTCATTTTGAAATTCAAGTACTGAATGCAGAAAAACCCACAAGGGCGAAAATAATTAATGCTGTTTCTTACTGAACTATTCTGACTTTCTCTGTAATCCTTTTATTTAGGGTTTTAATGATAAAGGTATTCTTATTGTAAATATTTAATCACGGAGAGTGGTTGAGCAGGACGTGTGTGATGAACGGGTCCCACAGATCTGCTGATAGGGCTGAAAACTCCCGTTTCTCTGCAGCAGCACCCGACACCCACCCTCGGGCAGCGCCGGCAAGTGCCGACACTGGAATCACAAGGCCTCTAGCACACTCTCCAGATTCCTCCTGGTTTTACCCACCAATCCCTATCCTGGTCCAGTAACTTCAGCATGACATAAGGACTGTTTTTATTATGCCAATAATACTTAATTCATTATATTTCTACCATAAGGGGGCACGCTGCTACAGATGAGCCTAAGAGAGATGGGTCCAGGGAATGTGACTGAAGAGCTCCCCTGGCATTCCCAAACACTTTTTGGGCTCCTGGGGCTCCCAGCTTGGGCTGGCTTTTCAGGGCACGCTGCTGAGTCCTGAGGTCTCCACGTGTACAACCCAAGCGTGTGCTCAGGTCCAGCTTTGAGTTCCGGATGGGGCCCTTGTGGAAGTGCCAGGCAGTATCAGCTGTGCTGGTCTCTCAGCAGGTGAAAACCTGACCCTGTGTTGTTTGCAACGGTGCAGGGGAACTCCGAGCCACAGGAATGCACTGCAGTCAGCTGCAGAACGTGCTGCTGGAACTGCTGAGGAACGGGGAGGGAAAGGTCCATCCAAAGTCCATAGGCTGCATGCTGAGGTCTCCCAGGTTTGGAACAACGGCTGACCACTGACACGAGACACGTACACTGAACACATCATCCCAGCCTGCTGCACATGATGGTCTGTGAAAAAATATCTGCTCGGAAGGAGAGAATTTAATCCACGAAATACGCAGAGGAACACCAGTCTTGTCCGTGGAGAACAGGATTGTCGTCTGCACGGCTTTGAGTCACCCTTTAACTGCATCAAAACCCGTGCCAGGTGAGGAACCCTGGACAGGACGGCTGCTCAGACGAGCCCCGCGCTGGGCCCCCCGAGCGGGTCGGGGGTCCGGGGGTGCCGCCGCGCCCGGCACTCCCGGCAGCCGCCGGCAGAGGGAGCTCCGCGCTGCCGCATCCCGGCCCGGCCATCCCGCAGCGATCCCGCAGCGATCCCGCAGCGATCCCGCAGCGATCCCGCAGCGATCCCGCAGCGATCCCGCGGGTGTCCCGCAGCGATCCCGGCAGCGATCCCGGCAGCGATCCCGCAGCGATCCCGCAGCGATCCCGCAGCAGTACCGCAGCGATCCCGGCACCGATCCCGCAGCGATCCCGCGGGTGTCCCGCAGCAGTCCCGGCACCGATCCCGCACCGATCCCGCAGTGATCCCGCAGCAGTCCCGCACAGTCCCGGCAGCAGCGGCACAGCTGGTGTGCGCAAGCCGCGTGGGGTGTTCGCAGTATTAAACTCGCAGCCCAACGAGCGGGCAATAGTTAGCTGTGACAGCTAAGGAGCAATGGCAATGAGCATCATGAAAGAAAGGGGTTCTGCTGTTTCTGTTTCAAAGAACAATATCATTTCAATCCAGCAAACATTTCTGGATGGGTCCTCCAGCCCGGTGATCACTTTTGGTGCTGTCCTGACCTTCCTGCAGCAATTCCTGCAGGGTTCAATGGGATATTGGGAAGAAATCCTTCCCTCTGAGGGTGGTGAGGCCCTGGCACAGGTTGCCCAGAGAAGCTGTGGCTGCCTGGGAGTGTCTGAGGCCAGGCTGAACAGATCTTGGAACAACCTGGGATAGTGGAACTGTCCCTGTCCCTAGTAGAGGGTGGAACTGGATGAGCTTTGAGGTCCCTCCCAGCCCAAACCCATCTGTGGCTCTGTGAATACAGGGAGAGCAGTATCTATCTCCTGTAGCATTTGTGAGATCTGTACACATCACACCAGTCCCTGTCTTTAATGCAGCCCCACTAAGAGCTGTGCAAGTCTACAACTAAAATAAAACCAACACAACCAAAACAACATGCTGGAGAAACAGCCAAGTAAAAAATAAGGATGTGAGAGTTTGGATGGGTGAACCTCATGCACCTGGACCATGGAGAGGGATGTGCAATGTAAAACAGGCCTGGATTTTCTAAGCTAGGCACCCACACACAGCCAGTGCTGCTGATGGACAGGATGCCCCCTGTTTCAGTGAAGAGGCTGACCTTGCTCGAGGCCCTGCGCTGCTGAACTGTGGCTGCAGCCTGGCCCTGAGATCCCTGCTGGGATCCCTGTCTCCATCTCTGTGGGCCCAAGGGTAAGCAGGGGTGCTGGGGCAGGGTG